ATTTTCATCCTGGGATTCTCTGATAAGGAATTGATGAATTTTTGCAAGCTGCTGCTGCTGCTGCCAGGTTTGTTGCGGTTTTTCAGTTTTTGTGGGGGTTGGGGTTTCAGGTTTTTTTTTTTTTTTTTTTTAGTGGCAGAGGAGAAGAAATTGTTCACCTTCCTGTGTTTTCCTGAATTTTCTCTCCCCAGGGAAAATTTACATCACCAGAGTGGTGCTGGAAGGTGCTGATTTAGTGGAAGAATTGAATGCTCTGACCTGTGAGAGCTCCAGGAAGGTGAGAGCAGCTCCCAGGATTATTTAATTCTGATTATTCAATTCTGATTATTAGGGATTATTCAATTCTGATTATTAGGGATTATTCAGTTCTGATGATCAGGGATTATTCAATTCTGATGATCAGGGATTATTTAATTCTGATTATCAATGATTATTTAATTCTGATTATCAGGGATTATTCTGATAATCAGGGATTATTAAATTCTGATGATCAGGGATTATTCAATTCTTATTATCAGGGATTATTAAATTCTGATTATCAGGAATTATTCTGATGATCAGGGATTATTAAATTCTGATTATCAGGGATTATTCAATTTTGATTATTAGGGATTATTCAGTTCTGATGATCAGGAATTATTCTGATGATCAGGGATTATTCAATTCCGATTATCAGGGATTATTCAGTTTTGATTATTAGGGATTATTCAGTTCTGATGATCAGGAATTATTCAATTCTGATGATCAGAGATTTAATTCTGATGATCAGAGATTATTTAATTCTGATTATTAGGGATTATTAAATTCTGATGATCAGGGATTATTTAATTCTGATGATCAGGGATTATTTAATTCTGAATATTAGGGATTATTCAATTCTGATGATCAGGGATTATTTAATTCTAATTATCAAGGATTATTCAATTCTGATGATCCAAGGATTATAAAAATCCCTGAATTTTATTCAAAGGCAATGTTTCAAAAGCTCAAGTGTTTCATTCTGCCATAAAAAATTCCCTTGAGTGCATGAAAGAATTCCCTTTACCCTGCTGAATACATTGAATTTGCTGCTTGAATTGTTTGTTCTGGGTGCCCCAGAGAAGTGAATCCATGAAGCAGAAAGGAAATGCAGAATTTTCCCAAGGAGCCCTGGGCTGTGCCATCGTGTCCTACACCAAAGCCATCGAGTTTTGGTAAGAGCTGAGCTCAACTTCTTCACATTTATCTTCTTTTTGTACAATTCTGCATCAACCACTTTAATTAGAGGCCAATTGATGCCTAATTAAAAATAAAAAAAGCTCTATAACTGATTTTTTATTCGATTTTTTTATTCGATTTTTTAATTCGATTTTTTTATTCGATTTTTTTATTCGATTTTTCTATCTTTCATTCTATTTTTTATTCTATTTTTTATTCTATTTATTTTTCATTCTATTTTTCATTCTATTTTTTATTCTATTTATTTTTCATTCTATTTTTCATTCTATTTTTTATTCTATCTATTTTTTATTCTATTTTTTATTCTATTTTTATTCTATTATTCTATTTATTTTTCATTCTATTTTTCATTCTATTTTTCATTCTATTTTTTATTATATCTATTTTTTATTCTATTTTTATTCTATTTTTCATTCTATTTATTTTTCATTCTATTCCTCATTCTATTTCTCATTCTATTTTTCATTCTGTTTGTTTTGTTCTTTATTCTACTTTTTATTCTCTTTTTTATTCTATTTTTATCCTATTACTGCTGGGGTTTTTTGGTTTTTTTTGTTGTTTTTTTTTTTTTTTTTTGCTTTTACTGCTCCAAAAATCCTCTTTGGCTTTCAAATGACCAAGAGGAAGAGGAGCAAACCTGCAAGAAAATTATTTAATTTTAATTAATTAATTAAAGAATTCTTTGAAACAACCACTTTAAGTGTTTGCCCTCTAAATAATCCTGCAAATATTACAAATATTTATCATTATTTATCCTTACTCCTATGATGCAAAAGGAATAAAGAATAAATATTTCACTGCCTGCTCTTGGCAGCTCTCAGGCTTTATTTCCTTTTGAAATCTTTGTTTAATTTCTCCCCTCAAGGCATTTCCTGAAAGGGATGAAATGGGAATTTTTGGGGAATTTTTCCCCTGGAATATCAGCAGGGTTGGTGTGTTCACCATGGGTGAAAATGCTGATTTTACTCATTTTGGTGTCTATAAAATACAAGAAAATTGATCCAATCTTTCCATAAAAGAAAGATAATTTTTTCCATAAAAGAAATTGGTAAAATTTTTCCACTTTGCACAAAACCACGTTGTGCAAAAAGTTGAATTTTTCATTCTGAAGTCCGTGGCTTTACAATTATGCCCTGAAAAAAAATCAGGATTTTTAATTTATTTACCCTCACCGAGCTCTCATCACATACAATTCAATTAAATCAATTCATTTCTAATATTCTATGAAGAAATCCATTTTAATCCCCATAAATGCCACCTGATTTTGGTCCCAAATTCCAGCTGATTTCCAATTTCTTGTTGAATGGAGTGCCTTGTGTGGAGGCCAAGAAGGGGAAGAGCAGAATTGGGTTGAAAAATCAGGAAATTCTGTGTGAGTTAAAAAGCAGAGGACTGCAGAACTCAGCTGCTCTTGAAGAACAGGCTGAGAATAATTTGAATTATTTGCAAGTTGCCATTAATGAGCCCAAATCTTACAAATTCTCCCAGAATTTTAATGAGCATTCCCAGCTTTTAAACCCGTGGAGTTTTTGCAGGCAAATCCTGTGAAAATTTCGTTTTTTTTTTTTTTTTCTTTTTCTCCTTAGGGTTTTCAATAGGAATAACCATTGTTAACTCTCCATAATCTTGGGTTTTTTTTTGTTTTTATTTTATTTTTCAAGCCCTACAAACCATCTCCTGTATGGAAACAGAGCTCTGTGTTTCATCCTCACCAGGCAGTACGAGTGAGTAACCCCTGAAACCTCGGGGTGCATTTAAAAACAGGGGGACATTGCTTTAAAAAATCAGATTTTTTGGGGTTTTTTTGGTTTTTTTTTTTTAAAGCTGAAGCATCCAATAATTTCTGATTAATTGTGATCATGGATTCCCCATCCCTGAAAGTTGGAGCAGCCTGGGAGGAGTCCCTGCCCATTTTGGGGTGGCACTGGATGAAATTTAGGATCCTTTTCCCACCCAAACCATTCCATAATTCTGTCAGCTCCTGTTTGATCCACTTTTGAATTTTATATTCCAATTTCTTCTATTTGTATTGATGCTTTTATTTATGCCAGCCTGAAGATATTTCTTTTTTAATTAAGATATAAATAATAAATTCCTCTTCTTTCCCCTCCCTTCTCTCAGGAGAGCTGTAATTGATGGAAAAAGAGCCATAATTCTCAAGCCTGATTGGCCAAAGGTTGGTTCCAAAATCATCTTTTTTTTTGGGGGGCATTTTAAAGCAAGAGGAGAACCCAGAGCTGATTTTTAATGAGTGAGCACAGAGCTTTGGGAATTGAGAATTCTGCCAAGTGAGTTTTGCTTGGGTTTTTAGATTTAAAATGTTATTTTGAGGTGCCTGGCAGTGCTGCTACGAGGTGCTTGGTGTGTGTAAAGACAGAAGAAAATGTTTATTCATTTGTGAGTTGTCAGAATGCTTCAAAAAAAAAAAAAAAGCATGTAGAATATATGAAAAAATCCTGATTAATGGCCAACAGGTATTTCCCAATGTTAGCCTGCAGGAGAGTAAATAGGGAATATTGCAAAGGAGCTGAGATTAGGGGGAAAAGCAAATTTAGTTTCTTTTCTTGCTTTCTCTGCTTTGGAAAGGAGTAAATTTGCTTTTTTTTTTTCCCCCAAGCTCTTCCCAGTGCTTTATCCCTGTTTCCCCTGTGCTGAGGGGTTAAAATCTGATTTTTTTCATCAGCTGAGAGCAGCTCACTTTGTGAATTACAGAAAATGGAACTTTTTGCTGCCACCGCAGCAGCTTTGAACACAAACCCTTCTCTCCTGACTGTGGCTAAAACCTTGAAAAATCCCAATTTTTGTTCCTTTAGGGTCACCATCACTTCTGCAAAGCCCTGGCCCTGCTGGGCATGGCTGAGCTGGCCCTGGAGGCCAACGAGAGAGCCCAGGAGCTGTGCAGGGACTGCCCAGAGGGGCTCAGGGAGCTCCTCCAGCAGAAAGAAAAACTGAAGAAAACCCTGCAGGAAACCCGTGGTAATTCTGATTAAAATGGATTTAAAGTTGCTTTTAAAACCAGCTGTTTTTTTTTTTTT